TTGCGTGCGCCGTGTTTTGGTAGATAATCATATTCGTGCGGTTTCTTTCTTTGTTTTATGCCTCGTCTTGGCGCCGCACCACTTTGAATGTTGGTGCATAAGCATGCAGCTGGTGGTGCGCAAGCATGCAGCATGCACCAAGCATGTGTGCGGTGCATCTTTTTACGGTTTGTTTTTGTCTCGCGCTTGCTGCTTTGTTGTGTCGAAATCGACGTTCTTTTTTGTGCGATAGAACAGTAGGGAGGCGTGACGGGTTCCCATGCGCTGTGCCGCACATGCTTGAGCTCGGTCGCAACACAGCTAGCTTGATGGCTACATGCAAACGTCTGTTGACTCTATTTCATGACCAAATTTGCTCTGACATCATGTAAATGTTTTTTTGTTTTTCATTGGGGCGCAGCCGACACCGCTGTATGTCATGGACGAGATCGACGCGGCCCTGGACTTCAAGAATGTGTCCATCGTGGCAAACTACATCAAGGAGCGCACGAAGAACGCCCAGTTCATCATCATCAGGTGCACAACACTGCTGCTGCCGTAGAAATTGTACCGAAGACAGACGTTGGTGTGGGCATGCATGCGCCTTACGCTCTCTCGATAGTATGGTTTGGACGGTAGACGTGGCGCCTACTTGGAGGGTTTGCATTTGTGTGAATGTCTAAGTCATTTTTTCGCGTGGAAGCTCCCGTGGCAGTTCACCTTCTTGCCAGGGTATATTTTGGGATAAGGGGTTGGGGCTTCCACCCCACGTATGATCCCTACGTCTGACACATGCATATCTCGAACGTTGATTTCGCACTCTCCTTGGCTCCTTGTGTGTACGTGTCTCGCCGACTTCCACCCTTTCCCCCCACCACGAAAAATTAGCCTCCGCAACAACATGTTCGAGCTCGCGGACCGGCTTGTGGGGATCTACAAGACCCATAACGTCACCAAGAGTGTTACCATCAACCCCAAGGAGTGCCTCCAGCAGCAGCAGCAGCAGCAGCAGCAACGGCAAGGGCAGCAAGGGGAGGAGAAGAGCGGAGCCAAGGCACGCGCCGCACTCAAGGTGGGAAGATGCACGCCGTACGAAGGTGGTGGTGGTGGTGGTAGATCGTGGTGTGTGACCTAGCATTTTTTTTTACCTAACTGCTGTACCACTGCTAAACTGCATTAAAACTGCTGCTTGTTACTTCTCGCTCTACCACGTGCATACATTGATGGGTGCTGCAATCCAGCATTCCAAAACTCGTGTGTGGGTTCCTTCGTCCCGATTGATCCCCGCCCCCGCCCCTGGTTGTCCCGCCCATGTGACTGCCGCCCCGAACAGGCGCCTGGCGTGCTTGGAGACGCAACGAACGCCATGCGCGGCACTCAGGTGTAATTATGGGAAGGTTTTCTTACGGCTAAGCTGGGTCGTCATCGTTTACTCTGAACATCCAAGGGAGTTTTTCTTTCATTGCAGGGGGAAAAAAGTAGCTGCGAGATACGTGGTGGAGGGGCGGCGGCGTGTGTGCGTGGGTTTGTTGAGTTTGCACCCACCGCCGTCGTGCCAACCGCTCACGATAGATCAGGCATCAGAGGGTGTATACTCACTGCATGCGTGCTTGCCTTACAACCGAGCTTGTTGTTGGAAGCGAGGGTGTACTCTGGCTGGCGTCTAGGGGAGAGGAGGGCCGCGAATGGCCGTGTCGTGAGGATTTCGAGTAGGAGATTTCAGGAGTGGCAGGCTTCGGGTAAGCTTTTTCGTTTTGTAAACGGTAGGCCGGTCCAGTGTTTCAAGTCGTCAGATGTAGATGGCCTGTCTGCTTGTAGCGGCAGGCGCGCGTCTGTTCGACATGCGGGCGTGTCGGTAACGTTTTCTCTGGCTGTTGTATACCGTTGGGTTGGATTGGAGAGTTCCATGAAAAATATGCAATGCTTTTCTGTGTGTCCACGCTCTTTGCGTTCGTCTCTCAGACACGAGTCGGTCACCCGTGATGTTGCGTACGCGCCATATTTGAGGAGCTGGACGCCCTGGTGACGTCCCGAGGAACAATTCGATGTTTGATCTGTATGTTGTTTTTGCAGTTGTTACGATGGATTATTGTTGTTGCACCCGATTCAACTAAGTACTCTTATTCTTTTGTTATTTGGCAATCTGCCACCACGTTTTCTATGATGTCACGTGGAGAATGGATTTTACCTATTGCCACAATTGGGCTTGATCGTAATTTTGGGGTGGGCGTATTTGTAGCACGCATTCGGTTGAACAAAGCCCGATCTTTGTTGGGGAACAAAACAAATGTTGAAAAAAAAACAACTGCTGTACAGCATTGAAGCACGACGACAAAAAGCAAAGGAGGCTCCAACTTTGTAGACCGTTTTGTAGAACGGGCCTGAGACGTGAAGGTCTTCGGCGGAGCCCTTTTTCGCCCATGACCGCACCCGGTCGCCCCGGTGGCCTAGTGGTATCCTCGTAAACCGCTAGTCGCAGAGGTCGTGAGTTCGAATCCCGACGGGGTGAAAAATTTGCAAACCTTTGCGGGTGAAGGCGAAACAAATCTGAAAAGCTCTCGTGAGTACCAAACTTCGACGTTATATGTAGCACCGTTGACGAGGGAAAGGGACGGCTGGACCCTTTCCGCGATAAAAATAAAATTCAGCACGCACCGCAGAAGGAAGGTGGGGCATGAAAATAATATGAAGAAAAAAGCCCTGGTGTTTACTTTACCCCCTCCTGTGTGACCCTGGATGGTTGTAAAATTGTATGCATAGTTGTACGAAAAAATGCACTGAAAAGTCCAGTACTCTACATACGCTGAAATGGTGTAGTACACGTCTCACCACGAAAAATGGGGGGACTGTCGCCATAATAAATAGAACGACAACACACAACACAACACACGCTAAAATATGACTGGTACAATAGTCGTTTGCCCTTCCTTTCGATCGGCCGTGGGGCGGACGGCGAGGAACCAGAAGAGTGGCAAATACGGAAGGGTATGTTTATGGTCGTCGGTGATACTGGACGGAGTCGTGTCGTCATCATGATCGCTTGCGGCTTGCTTCACCTAGACCACGATATGGATTTTTGGCGTGCCTGCTTTGTGTAAACCCTCTGCTCAAAATGTTGGCGTTGCTGCCTTCGTATCACAAAAAAAACATGCATGTACCGAAGGTTATGCATGCATCTTCCATGCTCTTGAAGGTAAAGAATCGAATCACGGAGTCCAGCAAGAACAAATACTTCCTCTGTATCATAAGTTAGGGTACCTAAATGCAATAGATTGTCTGGGTGCAACCGTGTTAGTGATGGTAGCATAGTCGGGTTTGTAAGAAAGATATAACAAAGACGAAGCGATAGAAAAAAAGAAAAAAAAAAACGAACATCTATTTCTGTACCTAATATTGGTCAAAATATACCCTATTTTGGCCTGTTTTGGGAATATTTTTTGGAAAATATTTTGAGATTTTTTTTGAGAATTCTCGACAAAATTCTCAAAACCATCTAATATTAGTACCCTACCGGCCCACTACTCACTCTAGCGATGGAATCGCCCCCCAGCACACCACCTCGCAAAAGGGGCACCGAATTATCGGTTGGTAGGCGCTATGCCATGGCGGTAGGAATTGTCGACTTTTTCTATTTTTTCCCCGCCACCAACCAACCCTTCTTTTTGTCCCGCAAGTGTCTTGATTTTAGTGTGCCCCCCCAAGTGTCTTGGTTTTAGTGTGGTTCACTACTATACTGCTTTTAGTATAGGGGGCGCGACATGGATCGTTGAGTAGAGGGGGGGGTTGGATGAGGGCCCTACTGTTGCTTGCTTTGCCCCGCAAGTGTCTTGTTTTTAGTGTGGTCACCCCAAGTGTCTTGTTTTCAGTGTATGCTATTTTTAGTACGGGGGACGCATCATGGATCGTTGAGTAGAGGGGGGGCTAGGTCTAGGGTCAGGGATAATTCTTGGTATTTTTACCTTGTTTTTGTCATTGCCCCGCCCCCCCCGCCTGGTCGGAGGGGGCAGGATACATGCAA